GGTGGCGGGGTGGGAGCGGGGGTGCCAAGGACTGCAGGCCTGGGGAGGCGGGCGATAGCTGCGCAACACACAGCCGAGAAGGCTCTTGCGTGTTTCTCTTTCACAGCCTTTCCATCCATGAAGGTGAGAAAGGAGCTTCTGCTCTTAGGCGAACTGAGGTGGGCTCCCCTCCTGCCTCTGCCCGCTCCTCTTTCAGAGCGAGGCCCACCTAAACCACTGGCCCTAGGAAACCAACCCTGTCTGCGCCAACAGCCATCCTTTCTGCCACGCTGGTTATTTCTCCATTCCAGATGGGAGCTCATTTATTTAGTCGTTGTGCGGTCCCCACGGTCGCCCCCAAAGGCCTTCCTGTGTCAGGACATGAGGGGAGTCATACAGTCCTCTTTCTTTGCTACCCAAGGGCCAGGTGTCAGGCACCAGGTGGGGCCTCAGTCCTGGCAACCAACCCACTATTTGTCAGGAAAGGTGACCACTCCCCATGTACTTCCTGGAGGCAAATCTGAGCTGCTCTCCTTCACTCCTGTAAGCTTTGTGTCCAGTTTAATGAATGCGTATGTTCCTTTGCTCTACATGTGTGCAAGTGTTCACTCTGGCTAGAACAGGGTAATTTTGGTTATATTGTAAGTTTAATGAAGGAAGTGTTCTTTTTTCAGTCTTTTCCACCACTGTATCCTCAGGGCAATAGACGATTTTCAGTAGTTAACACAGGTCAGCCGCAATTTGGTCATGAGAATTCTATGTTACCCTTTACTGGTTGCATCCCAGTGTTAATTTATAGGCGTGTCTCTGATATGTTTAACTCCAGGACTTAGCCCAGATTTTCCCACAAATGTAATTAAATAGTCTCTACATAGATTTTCCAATGGAAGGAGAGCAAAAGGAGACTATGGAGATTGTGAACTACCCCTGAAGTACATTAAAGTTAGAAAGTACTTCTACTTCCACTTTATATTACAAGTCACAATACTGGCACAAAAAACATATTGAAATCAATGGAACAGAATAGAGGATGTACAAACAACTCCAAGCACATTCAACTAGTTGAGCTTTGGCAAAGGGGATAAAAACATACACTGGAGAAAAGATATACTCTTGAATAAACAGTGCTGAGAAAACTGGCTGTCCACGTGCAGAAAATTGAATCTAGACTAATTTCTGTCACCATGCACTAAACTAAAATAAAAATGGATCAAATAAATGGTAAAAGTAAAATACTTAAGTTGCTAGAAGATAAAATAGGTAAACCTCTTGAAGTCATAAACATACAAAAGGAATTTCTGACCAGAACCCCAGTTGCACAGAAAATAGTGCCTAGACTCAATAAATAGGATCATATGAAATTAAAAAGCTTCTGTACAGCAAAACAAATCCACACAGTGAAGAGACAACCTACAAAATGGGGGGAAAAGTTTTGCAAGCTATTCTTGAGACAAAGGGTTAATATCCAGAATTTTGAAAATCTCAAAAAATTAGACACCCCCAAAATAAAAAATCCAATCAACATATGGGCAAGTGAAATGAATAGACACTTCACCGAAGTACAAATGGCCAATAAATATATCAAATGTTCAACGTTTTTTGCTATTATAGAAATGCAAATTTAAATAACACTGATTCCATCTTACCCCAGAAAAAATGGCCATCATTAATAAATCAAATGTAATATTCTCTCCTTTTTTCTGTATGTCTTAGTTACTTTTCTTGTTGTTGAGACACAATACCTAACACTCAAAGTTAAAGGAGGAAGGGTTTATTTAGCTCACTGTAGAGCTTTCAGTCCATAATCAGCTAGCTCCAAGAGAGGATAGCTTGGTAGAGGAGAAACAATTTATGGTGGCTAGAAGGTAGCAAAGCAACAAAGGAATCTTAGCATCTTTCTGCCCCTTTCATCTTATCCAGATTATGAAGACTAGGATGGTGCCAAACCAATCTGTGTACTGTTTTAGTAATCACACACTCTTAATCTAAGCATCACACAATGTAGATTCAGCCACCACCTCTGAAAAAGCCTCCTATTTCCACATGAGGCTTTGCAGGACATCTAGACCCAAACCATAACACTCTATATATTCTTTGTTGTTTGTTTTCCTATGTGAATATATTTATATATGCTTAGCATACTTTTCAGCAGTTTTGATTTGAACCTATATGGTGTGTTTTCCACAGAATTCTAATCAGAATCCTGATGGAATATTCACATGCTTGAAGGCATGATTTACCTAGAAGAACAGAAAAAAATGTATATTTAAAAACATTTTATATATGAGATTCTCATATGCATTTGATGACTATATTACGAATCATGGTTTCAGTACAAAGCAGAGATTCTTACTGGTTTGGTCACATTGTACTGGGATATCACATGTGAAGCTGGTTGTTAACATACTGAGATGACAGTGATGAGGACACTAGTAAATAAGTACAGTGGACCATTGATTTACGAACTTAATCATTTCATGAGGGCTAGTTGTGAATCAAGCTGGTTGTAAGTCAATACAGCTGAGATGTGGATGTTTACCAAGTTACATGCTATAGATAATAAGATGCAGGTGAATTTTCCAGTAACCTAATTAACTCAAGTTGTTCCTATGTCACGCCTGTCATAACTTGAGTTGGTCACTGTATTAATTTATTCATTCTTCCACTTTTGCATCCCAAGACAATCACCGTTGCTCCAGGAAATGAGCACTACTGCTCCACTGAGGGCAGGCAACTTACCAGGATTCATAAACTCCATATCAATAAAGCATTAAAGATACAAAGTTAAAGAAAAGAAGACACATTATTGGAAAGGTAGAAAAAGGGGAAGATAGATAGCTACACCAGTAAATCATGGTAGGATTTTCCAAAAAGATGAAGGACCTGAGGGTCCCTTGTTCTTGGCTGGTTTTATGGGGTGACAGACCCCCTCCCCTACCTGGAATTTGCCATGATCTGATTGGTTTCCAGGCCCCAAGACCTTTAACCCCCTGTGCCTGGGGTGGGTGGTGGTGGTGTTATTCAAATCTTAAGTGATCTTTATTTTATTTTCTCTTGCTCTGTCAGGCCCAATCTCTAGAATGTATGGGTTGGTTGAAAGGGACTTTACATACAAGGTAGAGTTAGCAATTAAATAAAGGGAAACATAGTGAGAGAATATTTATCTTCTTGTAAGAGCTGTCTTTTGAGTGGCCACCGCTTTTCTCCTTTGTAAAGTGGGGAGGTGTGGCTAGGCTAACTTGTTAGGGAGCCTGCCTGGCTTATCCAATTTCTCTTGTTAATTGCACCTTTGGTAAAGTTTAATTTTTCTTGGTCAGGATTAGCCAGAAAGCAAAAAGAGGCCTTTCCTTGTTTACATTCCCCTTTCTGGTATACCATTCTCATCTTTATGTAGCTGTAAGTTTCTGGGCTATATTATCGTTTCTTTTTCTTGAAGAACTTCTTATCATGCAAGCAAGTCTGCTGAAGATGAATAATCCTAAATTCTGTCTGAGAAATAATTTCTTCTTCATGTTTGAAGGCCAATTTTGTAAGCAGCAATACAAAATCGAACTTTAAAGTTTAGATTTTTTTTTTTAGGAATTAGTAACTTCTCCAAACTCCATCCAGTAAAGCACATAACTGGCACCTCTCTTCAGCCTAAATATGCAGATGCTGGCCCCAGGAGACTGGCTGTCACTTTCCTTTCCACAAAAACAGGGAGAATGAGCTGAAGATGGCTGGAAGTGATAAAGCAAATGCGGAGAGCTGCATCATCTTTCTCTGTTCCCTTCCCTTCTGTTT